TATGTATGTATGTATGTATGTATGTATGTATGTATGTATGTATGTATGTATGTATGTATGTGCGTATGTGAACTTCTCCATCTTCTAAAAACTTTGTTTGTTGATCTGAAGACTGCAAAAGAAAAGAGATCTAGAAAGCACTGGACTTTTCGTTTCAAACCGTTTTCAACTCGCATGGCGGCCATATAGCACTCGGCTGCCAGCTCTGCAGAGAGAGCTAGAGATCAGTTTTGTAGATGCCAACAAAACAAGATCGCCTGCGAACAACAGATCTATCGTATGGATATGCCCCTACGCTGATACACTGGTTGCCTTGGCTGCGCTAATGTCGTAAAAATGTACAATACAAGCTGGAGAAGGGGCAGAGCGCAGTCTTGGCGAAAACCCGTGTCAACAGTGATAGGTTTTGACTTAACGCAATTTACCCTACCGCAGCACACGCTATCAACACATGGTGACTGAACGGGTTGTTGAAACTGGCCTCAATCTCATAGGTTTGCAGGCACCAACGTAGCTCGTTCCGCGTAATACATTCTTAAATTGTGTTTTACAGTATCCTATCATTTCTTTACTATTTTAAAATCGCTTATACTTATGAAAGGCTTCCTGACTAGTTATTATATCTTCGAAAAGTCTACAAATTTCAAAATTAAATTTTTGTTATAAACAGATATGAAAATTGGACCCTGTTCGAGGCGATCTACTATTGCTTCATCACGCTCAGCACCATTGGGTTCGGCGACTATGTGGCAATTCAGAAGAACTTCGCTTTGCAGACCAGATATGAGTACGTTATATTCAGTTTGCTGTTCATCCTATTCGGCCTGGCTCTGTTTTCTGCGGCTGTAAACCTCATGGTTCTGCGCTTCATGACCGGAAACGCTGAAGACGATAATAACTTAAACATTCCAAGGATCGCTATCTCTCCAAGCAGTGCCAGTGACGACGTCATCACCACGAATAGCATTCATTCGCTGATGAACAATCCGTTCGACTACCGTACTCGTGTGCCATGCCCTATGCATGCCTATGACAAAAAGCCGTCCGCATTTTCAGCATGCCTTGGAAAAGCCAGAAAACTGTCTAGCACTGATCGAAGAATGTTAAAATACACTGTCCGCCGGTCTCCTGGCAGGATCGAGCATCTGGTGTCGAATGAGTCGTTTGAATCGAACAGCTTGGAAGAAAGACTTGGACTTGACACAAGCTTGAGTCCACAGTTCACCTATGCTGTGTACGATAAGTCGATCTCAATCACGTCAACGGTTTGAAAACACGTGCCAGGAGCTGAGGAAACTTGGTGCCGAACAAATTTTATATGCCTCATTCCAGTGGCTTATTTGTGCTAGCGATTATGCGTAAGTTGTGGAATTCGTGTGATAAGCTGCTCAGACGTAAAATACTTGTACGTCTTGAAAGAAAACGATATTTTTCTATGCTTTTCAGTATATAGGTGCATTTGTTGAATTAAAATTTTCTACGCATTAATAATGTCAGCATTATGATTCGATATTTTGACACGAACTCCGCCATTACCAGTCCCAAGCTTCAAAGAAAATGGAGGCAAGCTCAGGACTGTGGCGAGGCCTCCCGTCGGTAAAGCGTAGCCATTTGCCCTTCATGGCTTTGCCCTTATGAACGCAATTCCAGCTCAGTCGCCGAACGGGTTACCAAGGGCCTGCTGGCTGTAGGGGAAATGAGACAGACAGTTTGTGATCAGAACATGCTTCACGCCATCCGGCAGCTGAAGAGGGGGGGGGGTGGTA